GCAACTCTTGGAAAGAGGATCTACAAGATACGCCTGCAGAATTGGTATATGGTCAAACTCTCAGCTTACCAGGCCAATACCTATCTCCAATAGACGACTACACCACGGCAGACGACACAGAGTACGTAACACGTCTACGATCCTACATGGCGAAACTCACTCCCAAGCAAACAGCATGGCACACCAGTACTACAACACCATTCTATATATCACGTGACCTCCACACATCCTCTCAAAGTCTACGCCGAGATCACGTCAGAAGCCCACTCGAACCACCCTATGACGGACCCTTCAAAGTACTAGACAGGCAGGCCACGTACTTCACCATAGAAATAAGGGGAAAGAAAAACAACGTCTCTGTGGAAGACTTAAACCAGCTTAAATGGCCAAAGAAATGAAAGAACCGGGACCGAAAGTCCCTACGGAACCAGCCATCAACAAGGAGAAAATCACGCGTAGTGGCCGAAGAGTAAGATTTACGGATTACTATCCACCGTAGTTACGGTCTGGCCAGGGGGAATATGTGGCGTAACTTGCTTCACTTAGACCTACGCAAATCCGCTACGCACATGAAGATTAAGCCACACGCTTATATCACGCCACTATCAGGGAACAATACGAGTTATCGAATAGATAAGACCCCGCGCCTTCATCGGAGCGCGAGAATGTGCGACGTTCATTCCGCCTGCAACCGGCATAGCAACAGGACGCGACGCGCTACTTATATCAATTAACTTACATTGTTCTCGTAATTAATTTCACGTTTTTGTTTGTAGTAAAAGTTGTTTGTTACATAGAAATAACATTACTTCATTCGAGTCAGTTAATTCTTATTCCTGCCCTTCATTAGTATTCGTTAGTTTACAATATAACGTATTCGAACACAACATTGGGCGTGGTCTCCACATCGGTCCCACAGAACTATGTCCTTTAAAAGACTGGTTACATCAACGTGATCAAATATCACGGGAGGGAGCCTATTGAGGTTCTTCGCCACAAACACTGGAAGGCTAGAAGGCTCCATTTTCTTAAGAATTTTTACGATATCCTGAAGAAGCCTTTTGTTTTTTCCATTCCCTTAACGTGTCATTCGTCGAGTTATTGAAGAATCCAACAGAAGCGTCTTTGCACGATCAATTTCTTCTTCCGTAAAGTTAGATTCATATATTTGTAGTAAACTGGCTTCATCAATCACGTCGATTTCACACTAAATAAAACAATGTAGCTCGTTTATCACTAAACGGCAACCACACAGGTTTGACATTTTACATTAGCGAAGCGCATGAAAAATGTACACACTTCCGTATGCTAGCGATGCGCGATGCGAATATATGTATCAAAATCTGTGCAATAAAAAAATTATAAAAAGTCCTTTAAAATTTAGACGGTAGCTACAGTGGCGCTACCCTTATTTAGCGCCTTCCTACCTTTGACTAGAGAAGAAAGAAAGGACATGACATAAAGATCGTTAGTTGTAGGCATGTAACGAAATATCGGCGTCTTTTTTTAGCTTATGAGTATATTCGTATGTAAAAAAGGACAACAGTAGTTTTATCATTATCGAATATGGTAACAATTTTTTCGCTGCGGCGGGGCGCCATGTTTTATCACAGTCAATGACAACTATATCAGTTGTCATTGCGACTTTAGTGAGGTGAGAGTGCTATTTTTATATGTTTCTCTCGTGGAATTCGATTATTACGGAACTTCTTATTCCATTAATCGGGACTTCTAAATTGGGATAAAAAGTATCGTATATATATTCAGTATATATTCAGTATCTTATATATATTCATATAAAAAGTATCGTATGTATATTCAGGTAATAAACTATTTGTGAGCCAAATCATTACATTCAAACTGGTCCGATAGATACTTTTGGCGTGATTGAGAAACAAACATTCAAACTTTTGCAATTATTATAGTTTGATTAGTGTGAGTATGATAACTGAGCCTAATTTATTGTCTAACAAATAAACAAAAATTCTTTAATTAGTACTTCTTGTTAAGTAATTCCCGGGAAATAATTGTAACATTAATTATAGATAGTTACATTATAAAAACAAAACAAAAACGACTGCTTAAAAGTAATGGACCGAAGACATAGGTATAAACTATAATATATTTCAGTAATCACCTTTTAATTTCATTTATTTTGATATCGATAGTTTGAGTTAAAAAAATTAAGGACTTACAATTTGGCGCCAAAAATCCCTCATATTGATTTTAAAAAAAACCTATCTAAGAACACACGGGTGTTTGAGACGAATCACACGAAAGAATCTTTTTCTAAATAAGCGCCACATTATCGACATTAAGTATAGTGCGCAGCACTACGTCAAGCCGCCATCTTTGTGCCCGATTCAGTTTAGGAATACATGTTTTTTCGTAGGTACGTCATGTCCTTTCTTTTTTCTCTAGTCAAAGCTTCCTACGGACAATTTTTTATACAGAGTCTGTACTCTTTACCTCTACACTCCATAGCTATAATAGTGTTGTAGTAGTAGCTATCATAGTGAAGTGTTGACGGTGAAAGGGAACCCATCGCAAATAATGACCCTCGCCGCGCCGCTTGACTGTGTTTTTGAAAAATATGAGATATTAATATTTTCTGCCTAATTTACAAATATATTAAGTCCACAATAGAAAATCTATAAAAACGAAGATCCTAGATAAAATTAAAACATGACTTAAAGGATTAGCATCCAAGCCAAAAATCTTTATAAAGAAGGTGGTTTTAAAGGGGTTTTGCCATAGACGTATATAAAACATATGGACCTGGCATACAGCTACCCATAGATGTGTTTTTAATAGCACTTCTCAAATTTGTTTATTTTTTAAACCGCACCCCCGTAGTTTATAAATAAAAAATAGGTAAATATCGCGCATCTTATAACGTCGATTACTCTTCAGATACTTACAATTCGGTACTTCTTATAATTTAAAAAAAACTGCACCCTGCTTGAATCTAACTCCACCATCGCTAAAAATCCATAAAATGCAATACTAATTGCAAAAAGTTAATAAAACTCAATTTATCAATCGTTGAATTGCACGGCCACTTGGAGCATGTGCGGCGCAGATACTCTAGGGTTTTTATTTTAGGAGGTCTTTAGCGGGAACTTCACGCAGATTACCTATATACCTGAGAGGATAAAATGGCGGTTAATAGGGCTTTCCATATCGATATTTCTATAATAATAATATCGATAAAAAATGGTGAGAATGTTTTCATATGGCGACGGACACACGATACACTATCTGTGGGTAAAAATACTCCAAGTTTTCTAACTTATTTATGCCTTTCATCTAAGTTGTTTCTACATTCGTCATTTTTCACCTCTAAACCATAGAACGTATTTTTGGTGATGGTTCCGTCAAAGGCCCGTAGTTAGTATTTTTTAAATGAAATAGAATTGTTTTAATAATAATTTAGTTTTTGTCGCGTATCAATCACACTATGAAAAACATTCGCTAATACAGAGCTGCAATTTGCAAAAAAAGATGATGAAAATTTGAATATCACGTGCTACATAGCCAGAACTACCATTTCATATTATATAGAGATGAAATTTGTTGGTATGCAGGAGGTAATCGATGGAACTGCCAGTTGGATTTGAAAAAAATATTTTTGATAGATTATATAGCCCAATTCTTGAGAAATGCTATAGCATTGCATATATATAGCATATAACATCACGCTTAGACCCTTAAAAGCTACACGAAAATGCGTCAGAAACAATATTAAGCGAAAAAGAAGTGATAGCGCGGGCAGGTAATGCGATGTGACGGCATGAGTCGGGGGAACAATAAATTTCTCGCTAAGTCGCAGACAGAAGCTAGTAATTACTATTTTTGATGTTAAGTTTCCTTCACCCACCTTTTTAACATGCAGATGGTTGTGGGTTTTAATTAAGTCAACAATAATTTTATTAAAGTACTAGCTTTTGCCCGATACTTCGTACGCGTAGAATAAAATGGTCTTAATAGGATTTTTAATTGGTTTTTACGTCAATTTTGTTATAAGTTATAACATATAAATTATTATGTTAAAATGTGTGAATACTTATTAAATATATTATAGTGTATGAATTTATAATATTTATTATAGTGTAGGGATTTAAAAATTAAATAAACATGAAAATAAAATAAAAAATTGCTATATTTTATGAACACGAAGCTTTTGATTTGATCTGGTAAAAGTGACACGGGACAGGAATGCCAGATCGGAAGTCCAAAATATCTGGACTTTGAAAATGTCGGGATTTTGGGGTTATTGTTACTGAGTCCACCAATTTAGACTCTTTATTAGTATAAGAAAATTGCGGAAAACAAAACACACTAAATCAAACTTCTAAGACATAGTACTACCTACTTAAATTTCTACATAAAAACAAAAAGAAAACTATATTAATACGTGCAACAAATCAAACACGGATATTTTTACAATTAAAACTAAAAACCTTTATTATACAATAACAAATCAAATTCAAAGAATCTTACTTAAATATTAAAAAAAGAAATTAAATTAACTACATTCAAAATATTTTAATAAAATAGTGAAAATGAAAAAAAAGAATTGTACAGCAATCGCAACTATTCGCTTAGTAGGTAATCTAAGATATTTTCAAGGAGTTTTCGAAGAAAAATCAAGGTATAAGGTAAGTTTTTTATTCATATAATCCAAGAACAAATAAAATTGAAATTTCGAGTTCTAGTCCGATTTAAAATATTCTTTTATATTTGACATTCCAATGTTAAAGAGCATTGCGCCAAGCTTATAGGTATCATCATGTGAGTCCCACAAATTATAAAGTGTGAGTTCAACGTTTTGAGTTTGTAAACATGTGTCAAAATAAAATGTAATTTAAATCAAAAGCACTAAGGAGTATTGATATCAACTTCGATGCAAATCACTCCTAGAATAACTTTCTGGGGTTTTGAATTTAATAATTTAAATAGGTAATATTACTAAAATAGCAATTTTTTTCTTCTATCGTCTAACTTTCATATGAAGTCTCTTTATCTTCATGGACTGTTTTTGACATTTGTCCGCTAGTTTCTTTACATTTCAAATGAGTGTACCTGAAATTAAATAAAATAAGACAAGCGAGAGATCCCACCCAGTCTCAATTCAGTCGATGAGATGTTATAATTGAGATCAAAGTCACAAATAGTGATGATAATAGAACCTGAAGCTAGTCATACCGATAAAAATCTGGCGTAGCGGAGGTACTAGCGGCTAAATCTGGCACAGCGGAGGTGTTAGCAGCCAAATCTGGTGCAGTGGATATGCTAGTGACTAAATCTAGCGTAGCAGATGAGCTTGGGGCTAAATCTACGCCACTCCTTAGGCACACAAAAAGGTTCGACCTGAAAACCACTGTTTATTATTAACATAAACATGAATAAAAATAGAAAAGTATATACTAAAAATGTCATGACTTCAAAAATAGTAGGGTGACCCTGTTGTTTTAATTAGGAAAAAAATTACCATAATAGGAGCACCACATTCAGATATTGATTGTGAGTTTGTTTTGATTTTGATAATTTTCAATTAAAATGCCAGACATATTTGATTGAATCGCAGGTTGTAAACAAACAATAAAATGATTAGTGTTTTTTTATGTTTCTTGATTTTATTAATATGATTCTTTATAGTATCCATTATACAAGGTGGAACAGAACAATCGACGTTTTTTTAAACCACATATTCATTTCATAATTCTGGACCCTCCTGCGTTAAAATTTATTGTCATTATTAAGAAAATCTGCTGTTTCCTACAAAAGTACAATACCTACGCAGTGAAAATGTATGGAATATCAATTTTTTAATAACGAACGAAATATTTCAAAGCAGTGAGGTCCCGTCATGTATGGACTATGTGGTTACAATTAATCCCATCACCCCTCAATTTATCAGCCACCACGCAATCATATTGGACAAATTTATAACATGTAACATTACTTACCAATAAGGTTCGTGAAGATAAAGCATCGTCACACAATGTATACGTCACGCAGTGTCCGGTTGAATCATGATTCATGAAAGTGAAGAGAACATATATTATGTAATGTTTTTGTTGACATCTTTAAATTTTCAACTCCAATTGTTTCCAGATAAATTTTCTTTATTAGCAGGCAGCGTTAAAATTAAAACATAAAACCAATAAAGAACCTTAAAATAGCATTATCGATAAATATAAAAATGTCTAAATGCATTACTCTATCCCTTCAAAAACAAGAAAATGATTTCATGAAGAACAACTTTTGAAAATAAAAGCAAAAGGGAAATAATTAATGCTTCACTGTTGAAACTCTTTAAAGAATGTAGAATCTTTTTTTAAATCTAAATCTAAAGATACTTCAGCTAAAATTAAGTACGTACAGGTGTAAAGTTATGTTAGGGTGATTTCTACTTCTTTCTTTTCATTCCACATCCTTATTATACATATTGCAATTGGGCATCTTGCTATTGACGATTGCTACTATTGAACCGAGTTCAAACGCAATAACACAGTAAATTACTATAAAATCAACAAATTACAATAATAGCTCAAGAGCATTTGACAGTTAACGTACCAGCTTTGGTACTAAACAGCGAGAGGATAAAATGGCGAGCCGGCCGCAAATAGCTTTTTCAATGGGGCTAGAATGAAGGGTTGCGATTATAATAGCTGTCAAAAATACTATCATCATTTTTCACTTACAGAAGATTAAGAAGGTTAAGAAGATATGACAGTATTAGGTATTATGATGTCAGCGTCGATAAGCCTCATATTTGTATAACAGTATTTTTTCTATAGTCAAACATTTAAAGTCCATATTATGTTTTATATACGTCTATGGGTTTTGCCGGGAACTTGACCGTTAACGGATTGTTGCTCCTGTTTTATCATTTTTAATAATATTTTAAAGTGGATTTTTATACGTAAAAGCGATGACATTTTTTGTATTAAGTGTCTGCGTATGTGAACTATTAGAGAAAACGACGAAACCAGTGCTTCAATGTTGATATAAACCTCAAGTTATTTTGATCACTTAGGCGCCTTATGAGCTTTAATGTTTTTTCATTGACTGCTCGTTGAGTTGAGCTGTCGTCAAAATCTTCCAAAAATTTCGTAGTGTAACTCATCAGATAAAATGAAGATGTGGCTGAAAAAACAAGCATCCAAGCCAAGGCGATTTTAAATGGCTTAAAAAACAACCATCTCAGTCAACATTTTTAATAGAAAATAATAATAATAAAGGTGATTTTATAAAATTTATAAATTTAAAGTTTTATTCACAGAGTACTTTTTTATATATAGGAAGTTTTATTCTTTTTAATACATAATATTTTGTACGTTTAATTTGTATTTATAGCGTATATACTGTCTTTAAATAGATATTTTCATTTACAGAAGTGTCATGACAATTTTCATTTTGTAAAGATCTGTCATAGCGCCTTACGTAAGGCGAAATAAAAATGGGTAATATTGTATCAGCAGAGGGTGTGATTATAAAATCATTCGAAAGCAAGGATGGTCCTCCACCAGAATGTCCTATGCATAACAAAAATAATGCATCTAGTGCTAAAACTCCAACATCGGAGTGTCCAGTTCAGCAAGAAAAAAATGATGTTAATCCTTATAATATGGTAAATTATCTCTGTATCTTTTTCCAGCTTTGTGATTAATAGTAATAATAATAATAAGTTCTTTATTTTCCAAAATGTAGTACAACCAGATATTTGCTTGAAAAAAATGATGTTAATCCTTATAATATGGTAAATTGATCTCTGTCTCTGTATCTTTTTCCAGCTTTGTGATTAATAATAATAATAAGTTCTTTATTTTCCAAAATATACAACCAGATATTTGCTTAACGTTTAATAAGGTTAAATTGGTACATATACTTGAAACATAGCATCTGCAGCCAAAATAGGAGACCTGTGCATCAGAGTCAGCGCCATATCCCCACCGTTAATTTATGTATATATTAGAATTCAAGCAAAACTAAATAGTGAAATAATCTTAAAAGTTTCTACATTTGAAATTTATTGGATCACATTTTGTTTTATATACTAAGTTATTTAGAATTTAGATGAAATCAATAAAACACCTGTTTGGATTTTTGAAAGTAGTTATTAAACAACTTTAGTCTTCATGATAAATATGAAATAAATAAGATAGGTACACATTTAACTCTTCAATCCCCTAGTGGTTGCATGCAACTGCTGCCATACAATATATGTTGTGAAATATATAGCGTTTATTTATATTGTACACAAAGTAAATAGGCTCACATTTAGATTAACTATCTAAAGTTAGCACTCAAATGGCAATTGTTCAAAGATCTACTTCATTTACTTATGTATACAAAGTATCAGCATTAGGAACATAGTTTTCGAGAAAGTTAAGAACAAAATTAACATTTTCTTTAATAATCTTGCTCTTTTGACACAGAGCCTACATAGCCCCTCACACCTTTTTTTTTAATAATAAAATGCTTCAAATTACTACTTATACAACAGGGAAGGATAATAAAATGAAACATTAAACTATTTTTCCTTTTCAATGTATTGTCCTTTAGCCCTAATACATTTATTAGATCTGTCAAATAGCATATTAATACCGCCTAAAAAAAAGATTTGTCTTGGGCTTCAAAATTACCAACTTCACTTCATCATCATTGCCAATTTTTTCCCATGCATTTTTTTATTTTTGGAAACAATAGTTGCTTGGGGCCAGGCCTGAGCTGTGAGGTGGATGGAGCAGTTGTTTAAAACTGCACCGGTGAATGGCTGCCATTGCAAAATGGCTTGAGTGCTAATGATAAACAGCTGACATCTCTTGAAAAATGGTTTGAGGTGTCTTTCCTTGTTTGGTGAGAAACTTAATGATGGCATGATATTCAATTTTCTCCATAGTGGCTAGTTTCTTCCCAGTTGACTTGTTTACTCGTTGATAACTTTGTATAGATACAAAAAATGAATCAACTAGCACCTTCCTGGTTGAGTAAACTCACCCTCGTCAACCTCGTCATTTTGTAAACTTTTTGACCACCCCTCGTAATTTATTTTCAAAAATTTACAAAAAAATAAATCTTTTTCTAAAGAGGAAATGTTTTTCTAATTGGCTGTGGGTTCCCTCTCACTATTGCTTTATTAAGGCGTTGTTTATATAAATATAAATAAAATTTACAGATGCCTCCAGCAAATCAACAACCAGCCCCAGACCAGCCTTTTCCACTTCCAACAAATCGACAAGTTTCATCAATCCCAAGAGCAATGCCAGATGGTTCTACTGAATTTTGGGTGTACCCAAGCCAACAAATGTTCTGGAATGCCATGTTACGGAAAGGCTGGCGTTGGAAGGATGATGAAATAAAACAAAAAGATATGGAGGACATTATTCGTATACACAATGCCAATAATGAACAAGTAAAATTTCCTTTTATACATATTTTAATCACATAAAAACTTTAATTACAGCCTGTTGTTGCGCGCCATAGTTGATGCCTGGTATATGGCACTAGCGCCATCTAGTATTGAGAAGCAGAAATAGGAGTGTCAAGATCTTTCTAGGAAATTCCATAGCACCATCTAGTATCGAGTAGCAGAACTAAGCTTTCTAGAAAATTTGATGCTAGAACTTTAGACATTCTAAATGTTTCAGTAAAAAAGAACCTATTACAAAGCCGTTAAGGTCCGCGACCGGGGCGGTATTGAATTGGCAATACAAGTGAAGACTTCGAAGCAAAATAAAGTGAACTAAAGTTTTAAGTGTAATTAATTATTGGTGTGTTTTAAGTTTTAATTGGTGTTCGGTAATTAAAGTGTCAATTTTGGTAATTCAATTGGCAGTTTTTACTGTCACAAACCCTAAGCGCGTAACAATTGGTGTCAGAAGTGGGATAAAATGATGCCGATTTTACCTAAGGCCAAAACAGAGGGTGTCCATACCCAATGTCAACACCAGCAGAAGATGGACCGGAGGCGATTTGGTGGTGCAACGTCGCAGACGTCGGAAGGCCAGCCACCGGACACGGAGGCCGGCCTATCAGCAGCTGCTACATCTACAGCACCTGACTTAGGTGTTCTGATGATAATGTTGCAGGAACAGGCCCATCGGTGGGAAAAGCAGCTGCAGCGCGGACTGGAGGAACAGACCCATCGGTTGGAAGATCAGCAGGTGGAACAGGTTCGCCGACAGGAGGAACAGGCCCGTTGGTTGGAAGAGCAGCTGCAGCCCGAACATGAGGAACAGGCCTGTCGGTTGAAAGAGCAGCAGGAGGAACAGGTCCGTCGTTTGGAGGAGCAGCTCAAACGCGATAAGGAAGAGCAGATGCTCCTCATGAAGAAAGTTCACGCTACCTTCGTGAAAGAGGTGAAGGATAGGGTTGCTCAATATGACTATCACCTGTCGGAATCTAAAACCCGAATTGACCAAGTGAACAACATGATGGCTGACATGAAGAAAACGTTGGACGATCTCAAACTTGGAGATGGAATTACAGCTCCCGTGGTAGCTACCACACCTACGTGGATTCAAAGTGCCACCGTTCGACGGGACTTCTTCCTGGTCAACCTACAAAATCCAGTTCGAAGCTGTTAAGAAGGCGAACGGCTGGAATAAATGTCCGGCCATGACTGCCCTCACACTACCAGGCCTTAACTGTTCCCGAAGCTCTCAGTAAGGAAGTGACTTAGTTTAGTTTATGATGGGCTGTTTTCCGCAACTCCACGTCTAAGAGCGTATTTTGCGTGTGGGCAGGAATAATTTGATTATTCGAGCCTTGAAATCTCCCCGAAGAAGTTCAACAGTCCTTTGATATTGCAAGCAACTTCGGGGAGCGACCCGGCGTGCCGAGATGGTTAGCCCTGTATAAGCGACCTCCGGGCGTGTCAGCAACACGTGAGCTGCCGTTTCTTCCTCCCCCATGCATGCCTTACACAGGGCATTGCAAGGAAGTGACTTACGAGCAGCTCCTTGAGGCATCAGAGGCCGCCATAGAGTCTACATCACCTGAAGATGCCTCGTATAGAGGCGAAATACGTGTCGTATTGTCGATGGTGTTTCTTTCCTGGAATAGTGGTATTGGGTGTAGTGGTGCCCGGAGTAGTGGTGCTGGGATTAATGGTGACGGGATTAGTGCATGCAATTGAGGGAGGTGCTCTTCAGTCCAGGTAAGACACATCATTGTATTTTTAAGTGGATGGTTGCGAATTAATTAATGTTATACAGCCTTGTTTTTAAGTTTTGAGGTATACTTGATGAGAAGATGTGTCATATTCTCCCAAACACTTCCCTGTCGAGTTGAATCTGTCGGTCGTAGTTGAATTTAACTAGTGGACTATTTGTCCGAAGTAAACATACTCGCCAACCATTTCAAGCTTAGTGCTCCCAACAACTACCGGCATAGGTGTGAAATGGACTTTTCACATGAATCACATCTTTGTTTTGTCTATGTTTATTCTATATAGTAGTCTATGTTAAGTCCTATCCATTGGGAGGCACTATTTTCAGATCATTGAGCATAATGCTTAGGTCCTTTAGCAATTCTGCTGAACTATATCGTCGGCAAATTGAAGGTGATTGATGTACTCGCTATTGATGTTAATACCGTATCCTTTCTAGTCCAGAAGCATGAAAAAGTCTTACAATGCAGCGGTAAAGAGTCTTACGCCTCACTGCGGATTAATATGCTTCATATTCGGATAGCCATCCTACAAAACATTATTATTTTATTATACGTTATTTAAAGAATTATGCAACGATATTTTATTACAAATAAACATTGGAAATTTTTCTAGTTCCCATTCCTAGCCCGTCCAATGTCAATTTGGCACCGCTGAAGGGACTGCAGCGCCACCCAAATTTCAACGGAGTCAAAGGCTTTCTCATAGTCCACATACGCGATACAAAGTGGCAGATTGTACTAGTCGGACTTCTGCACAATTTGCCAAAGGGTATATATGTGGCCCGTGGTGCTAAAGCCTTTTCGGAAACCGGCTTGTTCGGGAGGCTAGAAGTCGTCGAGTCCGCGTGCGTGACGATTCGTAATGACTCGATAAACAGCATGTAGACGTGGTTCCGAAGGAAAATCGGTCTGTTGTTCTTTTCCAAGCAAGCGTTGTAGCCTTTCTCGAAGAACAAGACCACGGCACTTGTGCTCCACGCCTCCGGAGTAGTGCCACCACAGAGGACGGAATTAAAGAGCTTCTGAAGGACTTCGAGTACTGGCTTTCCCGCTTTCAGAAGCTCTGCTGTAATTCCATCCTCGTCCGGGGCCTTGCCGTTTTTAAGTTGCTCGAGAGACATTCTAATCTCGCGCAGACTGGCGTCCAGGATATCATCGGAATAGTGTCTTACTCTTTAACCCTTAATCAGGCATCACAAATAGGATAGTTATAGAAGTGAGCAGACTTTCGTATGTTGTTTTTGGTGGTTCCAGAAGTCGATAATTTGTTTTTTTTTTTTACTTTTTTTTTGGAAATTTATGTGGGAGCTATTCTACCATTGCCCAAGTAGAGCGACATTATTTTAATGTGATTGAAATTTTGAAATATTTTTTAAGTGTCTTATTTTCTTCTATAAAGTCACATTATTATAAAAATAAAAAATCATTTTACTGACAAAAATATTTAATTATTTATTTTTGTATGGACTCCCAACTATGTACTTGACATATCTTCCATTCGAAGTATGTTCTAACTTCTTTTTCTCTCGTACTGCAAAAATGGCATCTCCTATATGAGCCCTTTTTACCGTGATGCTGACCAAGGCTTGAGAGCCGAATCTCATTGGGTATTCCAAAGACGCCACCCTTTTTCTTTATGAAATTGCCTGGCTTATGTTTTCTTTAATAATAGAAAGAATAAGATATAATAAGAATATCTGAAAAGGTACATTTTTCAATATGTAAAATGTTGATGCAAATTGTTGTTGAGTATATGTAGTTATTGCAGTAGGGCAGAACATGTCTTTCAGTTAGCCATTTTTTTTGCCTTCTCTTGATGACATAAACTTCAGATGGATTTACTGCAGTTGACAAAATATGGACATATTTTGTATCATGCCATTTTATACATCCGACTGGAGAGTCATAGCGAAAAGTAAACTCACCGGGAGCAAGCTTCATCAGTTCTTTTTTCTTCATTTTCATCTCTTCACTGTCCCCAGGTTTTTTGGAAGTGAATTCTTCTGGAATTGCTTTTCTTGTCAATCGCACTGTGCCAACACTGTAAATGTTTCTTTCACGTAAAATCTCCATTATTTTCTTTTTTAATGCTAGTGAAGAAGTTATCAAACACAACTAATGAGCCAGCAGGTACATTTTTAGTTAGTTTCAAAACAACTTTGTATCACAGACCTTCTTCACTTGGAGCCCCTGACCTGTCCTTTCCTGTAAATAAATATCAAATAGAATATCATGAACTAATCAAAACAGTTTATTTTTGAACAAATCAGAATTTTTTTGTTTTTGGCAAATATTCTATTTACCTGTATAGATATCAAACTGATAGAGATATTCAGATTTTGAGTCACAACGACACCAAACTTTATACCCATGTTTTATGGGTTTCAATGGCATGTATTGTTTTTTGCTATCTCCACCCTTGAACTTGACCATACTTTCATCAATCGATTAATGATGAGAGTTTTCAGCACATTGTTGAATGGTTCGGTTTAGAATGGATACAGCAGTTCTTATTTTCTGGGTGAGTTTTTGGAAGCGCTTGGAAATCACTGACATGAAAATTCTCTAAAATTTTCTTGAACCTTTTCAATGGCATGATGATGCTTATTTCCTGATTGTTATAAAATCTATTTGAAGACCAATACAATTCAAAGTCTGATAATGGATGCAATCCCATTAGTATAAAAATCCCCAAAATAGCACTTATTTCTTCTTTAGTAGTAGTAGTCCAAAATTTTGATTGTTTATGTTGCACATATTTGTTGGTATTCATTACAAGTAATTCAAGCAATTCCTCAGGAAACAACTTGGAGAAATAATGAATAGGTGTACACCTGCTATTTGAATCAAAGCTGCGTTTGACATCCTTTACAAATGTATGTTCTGTAAAATTAGACACATTTGTGGACTATTGATGCTGTTTCTTTTGCAATATACTGTAGAGAAGTTACAGCTTGCTGTAATATTCTTGATCATTATCCATATTTTCAATAGGCATAGACAGCTGATCAATTGGAGGTTCATAATTTGTATCTGATTGGTTCAACACTGTCACTGTTGGTTCTGGGGAAGGATCTACTGGAGGTTTACTTGTGTCCGCTCGGTTCATTACAGTAATTGCATGGGTGCTTCTGGGGAATTATTGTTACTGGAGGATCCCAAGGAATCCAACAGCTCAGAATATGTCATACCTTGAATGCTATCTAAAACTGAATTCATATCTAGGGATAAATGAGTCTC